TGAACCAGGGGCCCGATGGATGGCAACAAGCACCACATTGTTGCTGGTAACAAAACCATTAGGAGCCATTGCTGCACCACTGCCAGGCCCTCTGTGGTCTAGACCCTTCTGTGCTCCAGGCCGTGGGCAGAACTGGCACTGCCAGTAGGCCCAGAACCCAGAGGAGAGACTGCTGCCTGGCTCCATGGAGATCAGTGGGCAGAGAGGGAGGAAGGACTCAGGGTTTGGGGGACCCCATGTAGGCAGAGGACTCTATACAGCCAAATCCTAGCTTTGCAGAGGAAGAAATGGCGGCCAAGAAAGGCCAAACTCCCTGTTGGCATTGGGAAGAGGGACCTGGGTCACGCAGTGAAAGCTAGAAGACAGAGACAGCTTTCACTGTCCCTGCCACTCCCCCCACCTACCCCCAACCCAGAGTCTAGTGCAGGCTTAGAGGTCATTGTCAAGGTGACTCTTCTCATTACACTAAGGGTGACAAGAAGGACAGGTCATTTTTGTAGGGTCTACAGCAGAACAGGGCTTTGGGGGGGAGGGGGTCTTCCTCATTCACATGCTATCCTGGAATGACCCCCACTTAAAGAAAAGGAACTACCTCCTGGGCACCTAGAATGTGCCTGCTTCCCTAACTCTTTCGTCCTCCAGGCAACACCTGCAAGATGAGCAGATTCTCATCCCTGACTTACAGATGAAAATCTGCAGCTCAACACTGGTTAGGGCTTGGCAGAACTGAGTCCCAGCAGGGCTGAGGCCAGTCCCCTAGTAGGGAAGTTGGCCCTACTTCCCAGTTCCTTTTTTGCCCTCTCATTTGTCCCCACCAGCCTAGAACCAGAGCTCTGCACTTGACTCCAAGCTAGACTCTGTCTATATAACTCTTCCTGACTTATTCTGGGCAAAGTTCCTTTCTCACTCTGTGTTTAACAGGGGCAATCTCAGAGGGGAAGCGAGCTCCAACAGGCAACCTGGGTAGGTTGGGGGAGGGCATAAGGAAGATGGAGGTGGGTGCTGCTGCCAAGCAACCAGCCTGGGAGGGGCAGCAAGGTGACTGCAGGCAAAGGAATTAATATCTGCCCCTTCCCCAGCACTCTACCTGCTGTCACCTGGGTTGTTACCACTTGCTCAGGAGCCCCCAGATCCGAGTTGGCACAAATCAAGCCACATGCCAGGCAATATTCCCAGATACCCCTTTCATCCTGTGGCGGGCCTTCTGAAGCCCCATTTTGCTCTCCTTGCACATGGTCTCTTCAGCAGTCTTGATAGGCTTGGGCTGGGTCACCTGCACTCCACCCCTGGGCTGGACCTGAGCTGGTTTACAGCTCCCAGGGAACTGTCTGGGCCACAACAGTCCACCAGAGGGATACCTTTCAGAAAGACCCTCAAAGATCTGTTTCCCATCCTAGATGAGAACTGAGTTTCTGGTCACCATCCCATAAAACTAATTTTGTTCACTATCCCTAGGGGCTGGGTACAAGCAGCTGCCTCCTTTCTGCTCTCAGCCAGTCCCTGCCAGCCCAGGCCTTTGCCCTGCAAACTTTCTAGAAAACGCCCACCTTGCAAATGTTAAAGTTACCTCAAATAACCTTGCCTTCGGTCCCGAAGGTCAATTTCTTATCCATTATAAAAATGTTCCATCCCTCAGCCCTAGGGTGACTTGATTTTTTTTTTTTTTTTCACATTCTTATCCACAAAAAGTGTAGTTTTCCCTTGATACTGGATCACTCACAATAGCTCAAATTCCTCACACCTACCTTGGTGTCTGGTCGCTCTGGCCTGCCTTCAGCAAGAATCCTATTAGGTGTACTTTGCCAGAAGCCCCCTATCCCTGAGGCTTCCTCTTAGCAACTTTTTGTCCCAGCCCTGTTCCTAGGCTATGAAACCCTCTGGCCCAGGCTATCCAGAATGGAGTCCACCTTTACACTGAGGACTCTTTCCCCGATTATAAAAGTTCCTGAACAAAATCTGGTCTGACCACTCCTTTCTACAAAAAAAAAAAAAAAAAAAGCATGGTTTTATTTTTGTTTGTTGTCACTAAGAAATAAATGCATGCTCATTTATATTTTTTCAAAGAATATAAAAATGTATAAAGAGAGCAAAATTTTTGCTGATGAGTTGATATGCATCCTTCCAAGACAACTTATCTATGCACATACTACTCCATAAATGTATTTGTATTTATTTTAAAGGTAGTTTACAAAACTGAGATTACCCTCCACACGTCGTTTTGGGTAAGCAAACACCAACTCATGGACCTCTAACAAGTCAAAACAGACACCCTACTGCCTCATTTCAAAGGCTTGAGAGAATCCATCTAGATTTCGCTTTATCCATAGATTTCTTTATCCTTTCAGAGTCTGTAGAATTAATCACACAGGACCATTCTTTTAGCAAGACTCCTCCCAAAGACCTTCTGCCTCCACACTCAGCTGTGCCCAGGGTCCTCTGGGGAAGCAAAGGGAGGCACACTCCAGGGCCACAGCCATTCACAGACATGCTCGATGATACAGTCCACATCCAATCCACAGCTCTGTCAACCCCAAATCTGACCCCCTCAATCCCATAATCCCCACTCTGAGCATCTTTTAGCATTTTTAGGCAAGGGTCACTGGAACCCTGTAATACAGCAGACCTGTCAGGTCCAGAATGTCTTCTGCACCAACCCCCAAATCATCTATAGCAAGCCTCTGTTCCCCAGTCACCAGCTATAAGAGATGGTCCTCTGTTGTCCCACCTGTCCACCCAGATGGGGCAGCTAATCACTAGCTCAGAGTTAAAAATGACCTTGACATTTCAGACAGAAACAGAGAGGCAGGATCAATAAGAATGACCGCAGAAAAGAGAAAACAGGAATTTGGTCATATATCTAAGTAAGGCTGGGGAGTCTTAGGGGTCAGAGAGGGCCAAGCAAGCCAGAAACGGCCAGCAGAGCTTCTGGTGCTGCAAGAATGATCCACTCCATCCTGGCATCTGCACTTCCTCCCCCACCTCTAGCTTCCAGACAGATGCAAGGGAGATGTGCCTTGGTGGGTCCTATCCCCCTACTGACCTGGCACTTGCACCCACACCTGTGGGCACCTGCCAGCTGCCAGGTTGGCAATCAGTCTAAGTGTGGGGGAAGGGGGGGGAGCAGGGCGGAGTAAGGCTACAGAGGCAGGAACCTGACATTCTGCTTGTGTTTTGCTTCTAGCCCCTTGCAGAAATGTTCTGGATGGTGGGGTGTCTCAGCCTGAAGGGTGGGCAACAGAGGATATGGAGACTCTTCGAGGTCAGAAAAGGGGCCCTTTGACTTCCAACCACATTATCGATTGCCATGACCGGCAGGAATAGGGGACCTTACCCTGGTATTTCCCTTCATTGCCACGACCCTCAGGGACGTAATTTAAACCTTGCTCATTCCTCTCCAAGTCTGAGCTCTTAAGCTCTAGTCTGCAGAATATAAAGAATCAAGATCCTACACCAAATGAGCTCAGTTGGCCCTTCTACTCCCTCCTAGCCTCCATGTCCCCTCCCTTCCCCATTCCCTCACTCCTAGCCATCTCTAGCAAGGACCACACAGGAGTTACCAAGCACAGGGAACCTTCTCCCCAAACCAATGCAGGGCCCCAGCCAGGGCTCCAGTACACCCCAGGCTCCAGCCAGTCCAACTCCCCAGGGGTGCTTCCCTCACACTCAGGCTACCCCAGTGATGGCCTTGCCCCAGCCCAGAGCTAGGCGAGGGACATCTTGATTTGTGAGGCTCAGCAACAGTGCAACCTTGAAGACTTTCAATCAAAATTTGCATTTTCCTCATCTGACCAAGATTTTGCAAAAGAGACATGAAAGTGGACAGGATTTCTCAAAGCCCTGCCCAGTGTTGGCCTCCAGGAGCCCATCAAATGCCAAAAGCAGGCACAGCCAATGACACTGAGAGTAGACCCTCTAAGATAGTGACACATTACACCTGTCTCCTCCCCACTTCTAAGGAATCCAAGTTCACTGCCATGTAACAGGTGAGGCTCAGAGAAATCAAAGTAGTTTCCCAAGTCAGGTCCTGCAGCTGGGCAGTGACACTCCAGGGCCTTGCTTACACTGACTTGAAACCAGCTCACGCCAAAGAAAGTTTTGTCTTACACATTGGGCTACACACCATGTACACACAAATGGGCGCAGACACAGGGCCCTGAATTCATCTTGCCCACACACTTATGGAGGCAGCTCATACACAAATATAGCTCTCAGGCTGACACTTCATGGATCTTAAATTTGCTCATGTTTTTAGGGAAAAATAAAAAAAAAAAACAAATGAAGCCAGGTGCAGTGGAACATACTTATACTCTCAGCTACTGTGGAGGTTGATGTGGGAGGACAACTTGAGCCTAAAGTAGTATGATACTAGCCCGGGTAACATGGTAAGACCTTGACTCAAAATAAGTTAAAAAAATAAATATTTTTTAAAAGTCAAATGATTGAAAATTGGCCCTCAATTGATGGTTGTGCACACTTGGAACCCCTGCACTTGGGAGGCTGAAGCAGGAAGATCAGCCGTTTGAAGCCTGCCTGGGCTACGTAGTGCGAATCTGTGTCAAAGCTTTAAAAAAAAAAAAAAAAAAAAAAAAAGCAAGGATCTGGCACCATTAGTTTACTATTAAAGCCCTGCTTAGGGCAGCAAAGTCCTTGCAGAAGCCCCGCCTCACCAGGCAAGCCTATAGCCTGTAGTATCTAGTAGAAATTAAAATGGAAGTAGAAGCAATTCTGGCCTGGCCCCAACTGCTAGAGGCCAGGTTATCAGGGGGGCATGCGGGATGGAGGGGATCCTAAGCCAGCAAGCTGGAGGTAGCAGGAAGTAAGTGCTGAGCACGCCATGGCAGGCGTGCCTCAGGCTCTGGGCAGCACATCTCCTACTTAGCCCCGAACCCGGCTCCGAGTGCTCTCAACACAGTTCTCTTTCAACTCCAAGCTCAGGCCTGGAGTCTGATGGCCACAGCCCAGGCCCAAGAATGGAGAGACATGGTCTGTGGGGAACTCACCCATTAGAAAGATGGCAAGGCTTCTCCGAGGCTCCTCTTTCCACCTGGCTTCCCAAAACAGAAGCCTTCAGGAGCTCTGGGAAAGAACATGGGTCTCTCAGGGAGATGTGACCTACAGCAGGCGATGGCCATTGGGTACAGGGACAGCAACAGGAGGCACAAGAGAGCAGTTATAAACCTGCCTCCTGGAGAGGGCAGGGAGGTGGACTTCCCTGCCATTCCGCATATGGCCATAGAGGCCCCACCAAACATCCAACAGGGTGGCCAAGGCTAGTAGATGCCTTTCACCACATTGATAGGGGAGTAGACCCACGCAGCAGCTGAGGTTCCCCAGAGGGCAGGCCCAGCTCCAACTTCCTCCAGCCCACAGACCCAGGACAAGGGCCTCATGGCATGTCCTGTCTTCCTGGCTGGCTTTTTGAGAGGGCCAATGGCCTAGAGGGATGTGAAAGTGATAGTGAACTATCCATGAGGGACTTGTAGCAAATTGGATTCAGGAAGAAATCGTTATAAATTATCCATGCACACGGATTTCCACAAAACCTACAGAAGGGCCCACACAAGTGAAGGCTTAATGGAGGCTGTACTTTACACCCTCTTCAGAGTCAGAGTGACAAACCTGTCTCCTGTAGGATCCCCACTCTCACAGCACCTCTCCTTGATCTCTCATGCCTCTTCTAGGAAGCCTTCCCATCACCACTGCTGTAGGCAGAAACAGACCACCCTGCCCCCATTCTGGGTCTGAAATTCCACCATGAGAAACACAGCCACAGAATTTCAAAGTTGGAATGGGCTTCCAAGCTCCATCCAACCCCCACCCCACAGAGGAATCCTGTCCGCAGACACCCTGACAGATGGCCACTGGCAGCCTCCGCTAGGCTCTTCCAGTGCTGGAGGGCAGCCCTCTAACTGCGGACGTGGACTCTCATTCCTTGAGTCTAGAAGGGATTCACCTTTCCTAGGGTCAGGCTCCCATTGGGCACTCAAGCCTGGTGGAATAATAAGGAAACCCAGGGTCAGCAGATTTGATGAGGGACAAGCACCAAGGAGCAGAAGGAGGAGTGGGATGAGATGCTGGGCAGGGGGCTATGGCCCAGGGGAGCAGAGGGCTCTGGGAGGGAGGCAGGCAGGTGCCAGATTCACTACACAGCTTGGCCTGGGGCCGCTCCCAGGGGAAGGATGGGGTACATACATGCACACATTTGACAGAGTTGCTTGTGGACAGCTTCACCAAGGTCTCTGTAACCCAGGGGCCAGCCATCTTGCCCCAGAAATCTGCAGGAAACCCCACAACTTAACTCGCTAAAACCAAGTGGCTTAGCAAACTACCAAGAAATGACAAGAAGGGACAGCCCAAAGAGGTCCACCTGACAGCTGGGTTCCCCAAATCCCACAGGCCAGTCCTAACACCCCAGCAACGCCAGAATAGCTCCTGAGGCTGCAGCTGTCACATCTGTGGGGAGGGAGGAGGCACAGTGAAGCAGCACCTGATCCTAGGATCGCTGCGCAGCCCGCCCATCCGCCTGCCCAGGAGGAGGTTCAGCCGCTGGCAGCCCAGGGTGAAACATGAAGACTGAACTGTCCCCAGGGATGCTGATGGCAGTCTCTGGGCACGGCAGTGAGGGGCAAGCTGGGTCACAGGGCGGAGGGTGCTACTCCCGAGGACTCCTGTCCCTGCTGGTTTGAGAAGGGGCAGTTGTGTGGCTACAGTCCGTAGCCCTTCCTCCCAAAGCCGACGCAGGCCAGAGCTGCCCAGCTGGGTGCAGGACGCCATCTTGGGTCAAGGTGCAGCCACAGGGGGCTCCCCTTGGAGTCCAAGGTTGAGTCAGCGGGACCCCACTCCCACCCAAGGTGCCGACACCTACTCAACTGGCCTTGCAACAGAGAGAGGGGAGGGAGCACGGAAGGGATGGAGCCAAGGGGAAAACAGCAGAGGCGGAGGGAAGGGAGAGGGTGCCCCCAAGAAGGCAGGCTCCAGGAAAGCGAAAAGCAGTTTGGCAGCCGGAGGGCCGCGGGCCCCAGCGAAGAGGGGCTGGGGGAGGCCGGGGGCGGGCCCTGGATCCGCGCCAGCTCGGTCCGCGCAGACGGAGAGGGAGGGCAGGGCCGCCTAGGGAGGGGAGCACGGGCGAGGGCGGGACACGGACCGCGGCCGCCTGCAACTCTGAAGCTCAGGGTCTCCCGGGGTTCGGGGACATGGGGCGGAGGACCCTGATCCGCAGCCTCGGGGAGGCCTCGTCCTTCACTGTTCAAATGCGAAGCTTTCAAGGACACGTCTGCACCGGCCCGGCGGGGGTGCGTGTGCGTGAGTGTGTCCGCGTGCGTGTGAGTGTGTGCGGGGGGGTGGGGGGTGGCGCTGCTTCATGGGGCGACCCTGGCGTCCCCACCCCCGCTGGTCCCAGCCTTGCTGCTCCCACCCCCGCGTTTTCCGGCCCCCCGCGATCCGGGCCCGGGATCCTCGCCCGCCCCCGCCCCGCCCCCACACTGCGGCGCCACCACCACCGCCGCCCCGCTCCCACGGCCCGCAGCGGGGGCAGGGAGGAGCCAGCCGCGACACCCCCAGTCTGCGTTCCGCTCGGCCCTTGCGGGAAGGTGTGCCCCCCAAGTGGGCACTCTCCCTACCCCTCTCAGATCCGCTGGCTCCCCGCACCCCCAGCCACAGGTGGCCGGAGGAGGATCGCTGCGCAGCGTTCCCCGGACCGGCCCCCGAATCACCCCTCGGCCCGCCCCCGGGGGCCTCCCGGGTCCCCCGCCCCGCCGGGCCGAGGAGGGCCGGGAGCCGGGGGGAGGGGCGGGGGGCCGGGTCGTGCCAGGCTGCCATTTTCTGCCGCCGCGGCGGAGCCTGCGCGGGGTCCGGCCCCCGCCCCCTCCCCCGCTCCCCGCGGCCCACGGCGGGAGCCGATTATTCCGGGTCGGGGTCCGCGCCCTCAAGCACCCCGGCCGCAGGCCCCAGGAAGGGCCCCGGAGCGGGGGCAGAGCCCGGAAGGCGGAGGCGGCCGGGCCGGGGCCCCTGCGGCCGCGCGGAGCCGGGCACCACGGCTGAGGCCGGCGGTGGAGGGGGCCCCCCGCGGCATTGTATAGACTTGAACTTGAGCCCAGAGCCGGGCGGGGGTGGGGAGGGGGGTCCGCGCCGGGAGCGGGCAGGACGGGAGGGGGCGCCTGCCGGGCCCGCGGGGACATAAACAAACCCTCAAATCCCCCGCGCCGCCCCGGCCAGCCCGGCCCGCCGTCCTCGCCCGCAGCTCTGGCCCCGCGGGCGCCGGGCGCCGAGTTGCAGGGGTCCGGGAGCGTGCCCCGAGCCGGGCATTGCCCGCCGCGGTGCCCCTCGCCCGGCTTTCCTCCTCCCGCCCGCCTCCGGGCCGGCCTCCCGGGCCGCCAGCAGCGGCGCTCATTACCGTGTGGCCGGTCGGGTCGGGCCGGCCCGGCTGCGCGCCCTGGTGCCGCGGCGCCGCGTCCCGGCTCGTCCTCTGCTCTCGCCGCCGCCGCCGCCCGCGCGCCCTCCTCCCTCCCGGCCCGCCTGCCTGCCTCGCTCGCTCGCTCCCTCCCTCCGCTCGCTGTCGCGCTCCCTCTCTCCGCCTCCTCCGCCGGGTCCCCCCCTCCCACCCCTTCTCTCCGCCTTCCTCCTTCCCTCCCTCCGGCCGCCCGCGGGCCCAGGCCTCCGCCCGCTGCTCGCCCCCCGCGGCCGCGCTGGCCCCGGCCCCGGCGCTGCGGAGCCGGCCCGGGAGGCAGCGCCGGCTGGGGGGCCCCGGGGCGCCGCGGCGGGAGCGGCCTGGGTGCGCGGCCGGTCCTAGCGCCCTCGGCCCGACTTCCCGGCCTCTGCGTCCCCGCCGGGGGTCCCCCGCACGCTGTGAGACGGAGGGTCGGACCCTGCTGCGCCTGGACGGTGCTGCTGGCTTTGCAGCCCGCCTCGGCCGCACTCGCGGCCACTCGGGGCGCCTCGGGTCGGAGCCGAGCCTGCGGCCTTGCTGCAGCGCCCCCCCGCCCCAAACCCCCCGGCGGACACCCCACTACCTGGCGCTGCTTCTGCACTGGGTCCCCGCATCCAGCACTGGCCGCAGGGACAGCGGCCCCTCCTCTCCCCGGGCCGGTGTCAAGTGCCTCCCCCCGCAGCCCGCGGAGCCCCCGGCGGCCTTCGCCCTGCAGTTCTCCCGACCTCCACCAGAGCCCACTGCACTCTGCCTGCCTCAGCACTGGGGCTGGGGACAGCAGCGCCGGCCCAGCCGCGCAGCAACCCCAGCCTGGTGCCGGTCGCGGAGTGGCGTTCCGCCCGCGCATCAGGGCCAATGTCGGAGCACCAGGGACCTCTAGGCCACTCTAGAGGTTCTAGCACCTCTATGGATTGAGCTGCCTGCAAGGGAGTGAGCTCCTCGTACCTCGAGGGCTCCAAGAAGGGTTAGTTGTGCCGGGTGGGCACTGGAAAATGGAAAGAGTTCGTGGGGTGGGAAGTTGAGCAAATGACGTTGAAGATGTCTTCCAAGTGGAAGATGCAGTGCGCTCCTGTACTCTACCCTCGACCCTTCATTGTGGGCGTTGGTTTCATTTGCCATAGAGTCCTCAGGGCTCCAGCTTTCTGACCTGGGGCATCTCAAATGCCACCAGCACAGCCACCCTCTGCTCACCTCTGTCCTCCAATAGCCACTTCTAGGACTTGGTGCTGGGTCCCTGATCCCCAGCTTCCTCGCCTGGCTCCTCCCTCCTGCCACTCTGCACCCCCATTCCACTTAGCCCTTCAGCTGGGTTCCAGTGACCTGGGCTTCCTCCCCAGCAACCCACCATCCCACATGTGCGCGCAGTGTGTGTGGGGTGGGCACTGGAAATGGGCAGCCAGGCTGCCAATGCTGAAGCTCTTCCTACTTGTCCCTGTCCCTATGCCATACTCTCCAACCCCTCCAGCTTCACTCTTTGAGGGTTACAGGAACCTAATTCTTTGGAGGGGGTGGCAGGTTCGCTTTTAGGAAGCCCTCTGCCTCCATTCCTTCCCACCCCCAGGCCTGGGGACCTGAGGTCACTCTTCAGGCAGATGTCCTGGCCTTTCTCAATGTTACCCTCACTCAAATGGCCAACCCAAGCTGCTGATGCTAGGCCCTGCTATCCAAATATTAGTCAGGTGCCAGTGGCTCACACCTGTAATCCTGGCTACTTGGGAGGCTGAGATTGGGAGGATAGAGGATCGAGACCAGTCCAAGCAAATAGTTCAAGAGACCGCCCCATCTCCAACATAACCAGAGCAAAACACTGAACTGTGGCTCAAGCAGCAGAGTGCCTGCTTTCCAAGCACGAAGCCTTAGTTCAACCCTAGTTCTGCCAAAAAAAGAAAAAAAAGCAAATGTAAATTTCTATTCAGTAAGGCTGATTATGATGACATCATTGGAATCCTTAGAAGTGTGTGACCTTAGATGTCTAAGGTGACCATGTTAGGGGCTGTGCCCATGAGGAGCAGTGACGTAACTTCGAGGTTCCAGACGCTGGCTCTGATGTCTTTGGTCCCAGGAGAGGTGTGTCAGTGCTGACTAACCTTCCTCACTGTGCATGGCACTGGGGTCAGCTCAGGCGGGATGAGCCTTTGGTCTTCTACACCCCTCATGCAGGTTGGCCCCACTCCCACTGTGGCCTCATCAGAACCCTGGTTGATCTGGGCTGAGCGGCAGTATCACTTGAATAGGCCAGGTTATCCTGCAGTAACAACCCAACAGCTCAGGGACTTAAGACACAAAGTTTCTATGGAAAACAGTGTGGTGGTTTCTCAAAAAAATTAAATAGAATTACCATAGGACCCAGCAATTCCACTGGCGGAGGTATATCCAAAAGGATTGAAAGCAGAAACTCAAACCAGTACGTTCTGCAGTGCTATTCAGGAAACAACCTGGATGACTATTAACGTAAGAATAGATAAATACAATGTAGTATATACAATGAGATTGGGTGGAACTGGGGTTTGACTCAGGGCTTCACGCTTGTAAAACAGACACTCTACCACTTGAGCTACACCTCCAGCCTATTTTGCTCTGGTTATTTTGGAAAAAGGGTCTTGTGAACTATTTGCTTGGGCCGGCTTTGAAACTTGATCCTCTGGATCGTAGCCTCCCAAGTAGCTAGGAATTATAGTTGTGAGCCCCTGGCACTTGGCTCAATGAAATATTATTTGGCCTTGAAAAAGAAGGCCATTCTGACACAAGCTACAACACAAATGAAATTTGAAGACATTATTAAGTTAAATAAACCAGTCACAGATGGACAAGTACTATGTGAGTCTACCTACATGAGGAGTGACTGTTCAATGGATATGGAGTCTGAGTTTTACTTTTTTCTTTCCTGGTGGTACTTGGATTTGAACTCAGGGCCTCATGCTTGCTAGGCAGGTGCTCTGTACTTGAGCCACTCTGCCATCCTGGGAGTTTTAGTTTTAGAAGATGAAAAGTCCTGACCATGAGTGGTGGTGGTGATCATACAACAATATGAATGTACTAAGGCTACTGAATTATACACTTGAAAATGGTTAAAACAAGCCAGACACTGGTGGCTTACACCTGTAATCCTAGCTACTCAAGAGGTAGCAATCAGGAGGATTGTGGTTCGAAGCCAGGTCAGGCAAATAGTTCATGAGACCCTATCTTGAAAAAAACCCATCACAAAAAAGGGCTTGTGGAATGGCTGAAGGTATAGGCCTTGAGTTCAAACTCCAGTACCAGGAAAAAAAAAAGATTAAAATGGTAAATTTTGTGTTACGTACATTTTACCATGAAAAAATAAAGAGCATAGTACAACTGGAAATTAAATTTACTTAACAGATTACAGCCCCCTCCCTCCATGCCATTTCTTTCTTGCTCATGTCACATGACTCTCCCAGGTCTGCAGAGCGGCAGAGGTAGAGGACCATGTCCACTGAATATTCAGGGCTCCTAGCCATCATCTCAAGGACAGCACCAGAGGATGTCACATTAATGATGGACACTGGCCAGTGAGTGGTGAGAACCAGTCATATAGCTCCATCCAACTACAAGGGTCCCGGGAGCAAATGCTACCATGGTCCTCAAAGAACACACAGGTTTAGCCCCAGTGACCACACAGGGGCCCTTCCAGCCCTCTCACTGGAAGCCCATTCCTCTGACATCATCTACACAGGGACTGGCAGATACCCAGATAGGGAACTGGTGACAGGTCTGCCCCTGGCCCCCACACCCTGCCAGACCTCATGTCCTCTGTATTAGGTACTCAAACCATCCCATCGGCCTTTGGTACCCTCCCTGGCCTCCAGGCCTGGCTCACTGACCACCCTGCTCACAGCAACTGACTTCAGTCATCTTACTGTCTCAGATCACACCTGCTAGGAGAACTACATCCTGGGCCACTGTCAATGTAGGTCCTTCATCTGTAGCACATGGGGACA